TACTACACCAACAAGAGCACGATGAGCGGACGTGGACCAATTTCAAAATTTATTGGCGGAGCGGTCGATTTTACGAAGGAGTATCGCGCGGACCAAAAAGAACGGAAAGAAGCCCGCGAGAGAAATGAACAGGCCGGGGGTTCATCGAACGCGTCTACTAGTCAAAAACACCAAGATGCACTCGAAGACGAGTCTTCTAGTGATGACGAGGAGGACTGGGCTATTGAGCTCGACGAAGCTCAACAGCGTCAACAGTCGGGTCAAACTCACCAAGCGGACGATAATACCGATCCTGAGGAGCTTATGCGACGGTTCATTGAACAGCACCCACCCCCGCCCTACGAAGCGGGCCAGCAGACTCACGCACTACCCATGCCCGTCATTCTCCCGCAGCGTCGACCAGAAGCCCGCCACCGCGGTTTCGTGAGAGCCTACGCGCCAGTGCTCAATGAGTGCGGCATTGACCAGACAGCGTGGCTGGAGTTTCTCGACGGGTTCGAAAAGAGCATCAAGTTAAACCCCTGGTTCAATGTCTTGAACGCAGGAGTGATGGTTGCCGATCACGCCCACATGGCAGTTTCGGGCTTCAGCCCAATCGCAATGCTCGTCACCTTCGCAATCCACACGAGTCTCGAGACTTCACGCAGAACCTACGTGAACTACAGGCAGAACGGATATCTCGACACCATGAATGAGAAATTCTTCAAGCCTCGCGGTCTGTTTTGTCTCATTGTGAAATACAAGCCTTCGAGCACGGAACTTATCGAGGACATTGATCTCGAACACAACATCGCAAAGGCCGTCGATGACAGAGATGGGCAGAGCAAGTGGAAAAACGCCGTGCGCTCAGCCTCCACGACGACAAAGAGCGAGGTAGAGATCTCAGAACCGGCACCTCTTGTTTTTCCGCAGCTGGATGCTCTAGACGAGGGGAAAAAGCAGAACGCAGTCAAGGAATTCGGGCAGTTCGTGTCCACATATTTCGATCGCAGGGCTGCCTCCCACTTCCAGGCCCAGCACCCCGATTCCAAGATTCCGCAAGCCCCACAACTGCAGCAAAGTAACCCGAGCACTTCGTCAAGCAGTGGGGGCCTCCTCTCAATGGCAACGGGTGGGAAAGTTGTTGGGCCCATTGGCCGCATTCAGCAAAGGCGTAACGACCGCCGCGAGGAGTTGGGCATCGATCGCAAGTTAGGAAGGCAGGCCAGAAGGGAAAGGAGAAGAGAGCGAAAGAAGAACAGGCCGTTGAAGAAGATGATGAAACAGGACGCCCTCTACTTGATGGTAGTGAATCTGCCTACCCAAGAAGAGATGGATGCAGTGGCGGCCCTTAAGCAAAAGTGAAACTTGGAAATGCTCGAGAATATTACAGTTAGGATGTGATTTGATGATCTAAGAAATTCTATGCTATAGCTTTAGTGTCAATGTTGCCCAAGACCTTGGCGTCTCTGGTCTCTTGGGAGTCTGAATCCTCAGCAATGGCATCGAGAATTCGGGATCCCTCGAACTTGGCCGCAATCTCCTCCAATTTGAGACCCTTAGTCTCAACGAATGTGAAGTAGGCAACGACGAGAAACAAAAAATTCCATGAAGCGTTGATAAAATAGAATTTCCAACCCAAGTCTGCCATTGCATAAGCCATGCAAAATGATGCGAGCAGCCTGTTTTATGTCAGCAACAGACACCTGGAGAGGTAGTTGCAGTCAACGAACCCGAAGCCAGCATCCAACATGCGAAACATGGCGATACCAGTGGCGCGAAGCTTGTATTGAGAAACCTCGGTAGGATACAAGCTGGTCATTGGCGTGATGGAAAAAGCGTAGAAGCCTTGAAAAAGGAAGATTACGGCAATCGTGCCATATATTCCTGAGTGGTTGGTACTTTCGCCGTACTCTGGGGTCACGTTAGTAACAATGTAAATGTGACTGGAAACTGGACTGGCTCACTTTTGATCAGACCTCCGATAATGTAGAGAGTCGCAGACATGCCTGCGATTCCAATGAAGCTCTGGATTCGCCGCCCGAGGACGTCAAGCATAAAGCTACCAAAGACAGCCACCGCAAAAGACCAACAGTTGAGAATGACTTGGATCTGAGTTTGTTTGACAGTGTCTTTGATACCCGCCTGATCAAGGATCTTCGTGAGGTAAAATCTGCAAAAGTTAGCGAGGCCACGGACCCGGAATAACACCGTGGTGCAGCATACGAGATGATGAAGTTGCCAAACATATTGATCATAGGACCAAATGAGCAAAGGATGGCAAGTCTTTTCCTGTTGGCTGGTGTCGCGAAGATTTCTCTCCAAGGATTTCGAGGATACTCTTCCTCTTCCTTCTTCATGATAGCTCGTATCTCGTGCAGATTCTCCCGTCCCTGTTGCATGTCTTCGACCCCCTTACCTTGCATGATGATGAGCACCTCCAACGCCTCATCATCCCGCTTGTTTGCAATGAGCCACCGAGGAGATTCTGGAACAAAGGGAACCAGGACGACGGCGAGAAGGCTGGGTACGAACTGCAACAGCGAAGGTAAGCGCCATGACCAGGTGCTGGCGATGTTTTGGCTTCCGTAGTTCACGATCGCGGAAGCAAGACTTCCGACGTAGAAGCAGGAGAAGAACAGTCCCAAAATACGACCACGTTTGTGCGGAGGAAGAAGTTCGCCCAAAAGAGTGGGTGCTGCGCCGTTGCTGACTGCAGACCCAATGCCGACAATTATGCGAGCTACGACGAACATGGCAATGTTCTGTGCTGCAGCTTGAAGGATGATGCCGACAACGGTGATGACCGAAGCAACAAAAATGGCTCGTCGGCGGCCCAAGTAATCCGGAATCGGCTGCATTAAGAAAGCTCCCACGATACTGCCCATCCATGATGCCGCATTGTTGAGGCCTTCAGTTGCAGTCGTCAAGTGAAAGTATTCGGTGTAGGACGGCAGGATGAGTAGTCCATTCATGACGGACGCATCGTACCCAAGTGTCTACCAAGTATATGTCAGCGCAAGAATCGATTGTTATAGCTTTTGAAGCCGGGTACTTACCGCAGAGTTGACGATAGCAACCGCAAGCAACAGCGGAGACAGCAACTTCAGGTTGGCCGGTACCAGCTTCGAGACATGTTTACGCTTGAAACCCATTTCGTGAGTGGCTGGATCCAATCGTTCGAGTTTCAAATCCCATCAGTCGACGACAGCAAGCTTGCAAAAGACTTTTGGGTCACTTCTTGCAAGTCCTTACATCTCATCAGGCATGAGGAGATGTGATTTGTGATTATTAGATCCTGATTGGCTGTCCCCAGACTTCGGGCGAGCTCGGGTGAGCATATCAGAGGCCCACCACACCGACCCGGCATGTTGAGTGCGGCCGTTTTGGGTGGTATCGTGGGGATTTGCAGAGTTGTTATTGAGTCTAAATACTCGACCGAACTCGGGCGAGGTTCTATGTTGCCTGCCGGTTGGAGGACGGAGCGTGGGTATGTGATCGGCAAATCTGCATAGAGAGAAGATAAGGTATTTAACGGTGTCTTGTTGCAAGCAACTGCTAAGTCTCAAATTGCCTGCATCTCTAGTTGTCTTAGCACCATCTCGTTTCACGTCCATTTCTTTGACTGCCGTTCGAAATGCCCAGTCAGATTCGAGAGTGGCCCGCATGGGCTGAATATACGGAACAAGGGGTGACCGAGTCGAAGGACCCCGACTTCGACTTTGGGAACGCCAAAAAGTCTATTATCGCTCACTACGGCGCTGACTCTTTGAAAAAGAGTTGGCTAGCTGTGTGCCAAAACCTCGAAACTGTCACTGAAGAGATCATCAGCAAGGGCCACGGCATAATACCTGTTCTTGATGCTGCAGACCTTTTGGAAAAGGGGTTCACGAGCGAGCAACAGGCTGAAGTCAAGCGAATTGGGTCATTTGTGATTCGTGGACTTATTGATAAGTCGGAAGCGATTCACCACTACACTGATCTAAAGAAATATGTTGTCAACAACAAAGGAAAGATCCAAGGGTGGCCAGCAGAAAGTCCTTCGATGCTGATGTTGTATGACTCTCCTATCCAGAACGCCCTCCGAGGGCACCCAAACCATCTGAGAGTTCAGGGCTTGCTGAATGAACTCTGGCACAACTACGACGAAGAGACGTCTCCTGATCCATTGGTTTACTACGACGGCATTAGAGACAGACCACCAAGACAAGACTTCCTTGGCCTTGGCCCACATATCGACGCTGGCAGTCTTTGCCGATGGGCGGACAAGACGTATCGGGAGGTGTATGGTAACATCTTCTCCGGCAGGCCTGAGTTGCACGACTGTTACGACCTCGGCCTGCGGAAGGCCGCCGACCAAGAGCTGTACCCTGGCATCGCACATTCCTCCGTGTTCCGCTCTTTCCAGGGTTGGACAGCGTTGACAAGAGCGGTGCCGAACGAAGGGACCCTTCTTGTGTACCCGAACGTTGCAACTGTGGTGTCATACGTTATGCTTCGACCCTTTTTCAAGCCTCCAAGAGACCCTGCGGATGTGATGGATGCGAGCAAGTGGACTCTGGATGATTCCACAAGCTGGTTCCCGGGAACGTTCAAGACGGAGAGCCAGCGCTTGAGTCGATCATCCCATCCGCACTTGCGACTCGAGGAATGCTTGGTGCATATCCCTACGATGGAGCCTGGAGACACCGTTTGGTGGCACACTGATGTAAGTATCCATTCCGGACCGGGAACGATTTGAATGCTGACTATGGTTGCACAGGTGTGCCATGCAGTGGACCCAGAGCATCATGGAACGGAGAATGCATCCGTTGTATACATAGCTGCATGTCCATCGACCCCTAATAACAGGGCATATGTCAAGAGACAGCTTGAAGAGACTCGGGCGGGTCGGCCGCCACCGGACTATGTCGAAGGGAACGTCCTGGATGAGAGAACGCTTGAGGGATACGTAGGACTTGACGGGTTTGACGGATATGCGAAAACAGCGTTCGGGTTCAATTTGTGAGCTGGAAATCTCATCAAAGCATTGGGTCATCCATATGCTTGATAGAGTCGCGCAAGATGTCCGATGCGCGATCTGCAATTGCATTGCGGGACTTGACCTCATCGAGGTATCGGATAGCTAGTTGTACTTCATCACTGAAGTCGACCTCGAGATCGGGGGAAGCCCTGCGAGATTCTCTCAGCAGGAAGATAGCGGCGACAAATATATGCAAAGATAATGCCCTGCGTTGCTATTGTCAGTTGGGAGCTTCATGGAACCCACTTCACAAGCATAGAACCCATACCATTGTCTTCGCATCGCAGCTGGCTGGTCCCAGTTATGTGTGATCCAGATAATATCCATGGCAGACCTAATGCAAACTGTTCTTGCCCACTCGTATTGCCCGGGAGATGCCATCCACTCCTTTTGAAGCGCCCTGTTGATGCGCATGCGATGATGGAGTAGCACAAGACTAATGTCAAACCGCTGCCATTTGATCCACGGATGTTCAATCTCCAGGTTCTGCATTCTCTTGTGCTTACCACCGTCCGGCTGCAGATGCTCTGGCAAAGTATTGATGACCTCTGCTAGCTCATCATCAGCTAGTCGAACAACTTCTGCAATCGGCCGCGACCCTTCTCGCAATGCTGACCGGAATCGATGGTAAACGATTGATGTTCGTGCCATGAAGATGTGGTACTGGACAGGCTGGATACCGCCAGGTATGTCATGCTCAGGATCGCGCGAAGGGAGTGGAACATTGAAGTCGCCTTCATCTACCTGTGGAACATGGTACAGAACCGCGAGCCTGACCCGTTCGTCAGCAAGAACAGCCGTGGCATTGAGTTCGTGACCTAACTTACCATTCGCATATAACAAGCGTCCACCACAGCCTGTGCTGAGCCTCTTGACTCATTTCAATTGGAACATCGTCACCTCGAGATCCATCAAGCCCAAGGGTCTGCGCAGTACGAATGGCGCAGCTCCATAAATGTCTACTTAGTTCAGAGTCGCCGAAGTTGTAAAAGCACATCCCAAGCACTGCAACGGCTTGCACAATATGAATCTGGGGAGCGCGCATAAAGTCTGCCCGATACATGCAGAACAAGGCAGATTCGTACCAGTCTTGAAGAACACGTTGATGGTCTTCTGCAAAAAGGGTTACAGCGTCAGTATGAGGATAAAAGATCTGGGTTTGTGAAAAGCCATCCTTACTCCCAGGCAAAATCAAACATGCCTCCTCATCATCCATCATTAGAAGAGCTGCCTTGAGAAGTCCCGACCGTTAGCAAGCTTCTTAGATAGTGGTGAGTTGCCAAAAGCCCACCGTAATCACACCAAAGTAGAGAGATAGCCAGGCCGGGTCGCAGTCTGATAGGAGAGCGCCGTTCTTAAGAGCTCCCATGAATTCGGAATGCTCATCCTGAAAGGTCGGATACTCGAGAGCATAGTGTACCCAAGAATTCCACGTCTTGTCATACGCAATGAGCTGCTCACTGGCCTCCTGATCGGGACAACACGAAGTGATCTCGTCCCAGCTTGACATCCGACCCGAAGACTTTGGTCTTTGTCTCGGATCAAAGACCATTTCTTCAAGAACATCGTGACATTCCAGTAGCCGTTGAGGTTTTCGAGGTTTCAGCAAGGGTGAATTTGGGGTATGATGCACGCTTGATCGGATAGACAGAGCACTTCTCAAGCGCTCGTTCTCCCGCACCAAATCTTCGTCCGTTGGGGCATCTGTGGGATCCTTTCCTCTAGGTTACACAGTAAGTATCGGTTGTGGGTATGGAATGGAGAAATGGTAAACAACCTGGTGACTTCTCCACGAACAATAACTGTTTCTCGAACGCACTTGTCTGCGTCCCCTCGACGGATGCATCTTAGGCAAGGGGAGGCCTTGTCGCACTTGACCTTCCGAGATGCGCATGACCGACAGCTTCTTGGCGCTCGTTGTGTAGTACGCAAGGTCTCTGCCGCGTCGTCTGTCATGGCTGCGATGTACCGATTGCTCGTTGCCGAAGGTATCGGGTGAGCTCCCGGCTTACAAGGACTACCGTAGGTGGGGTTAAATCGATTGAGCCAAGGACTCAGAAACGACGGGTTGAGTCCTCACTAATCGATATTAGAATAGAAGGTATCTACTATTTAGTCAGTCCGTGAGGTAAACTGTTGCTCAGCAGCGACCCATTGATGTGTGCTATGAGCAGCATGTTCCAAGGGAAAGTTGAAGCGATTCGGAAACTCGCCCGAACTCAGCCGAAAGCTGCTGCTGTCGATAAGATAAGCGAGATCGCACGCTTACGTACCCACAATTCGCGCCAAATATCCCTGTGCCCCTCATGTGCTGGTCACATTATCACTCGACTTTCATATCATTCACGCTCTCTCCCAGTCTCTTGCAGCCGATTAGCAGGCATTTCTTCGACAACACTGCTTGATTTCAGATCAACAAGTTTCAACCAGAGACGCCGGATCTGGCCATCTGCGGGTTGTTGCAAAATGGCTTCCGGGCACGCTTTTCATGGAGCCATCATCCACTCGCTTGGACCCAACGAGGTCGAGATCCTGGAGAATGCTGGCCTTATTGTGAACGGCGATGGTGTCATAACTGAGTTTTTCCAACACATCTCCGCGGAAGAGCTGTCAAAGAAGGTTCCTGCCACCGCCCAACTTCGCTCAATCCCTAAAGGCCAATTCTTATCGCCGGGCTTCATCGATACGCACAATCATGCTCCTCAATGGGCCATGAGGGGTCTTGGCCAAGGCCTGCACATCCTCGACTGGCTCGATCAAGTCACATTTCCCCACGAAGCCCGATTCTCAGACCCTCAATATGCTCGGAAGGTCTACGAAAGCTGCGTCGATGGATTTCTCAAACAAGGCATTACGACGGCGTCTTACTATGGCTCAAAACATGCCGAAGCTACGCAAATTCTCGCAGACATCTGCCTATCGAAGGGTCAGCGAGCCTTTGTAGGAAAATGCAACATGGACCGCAACGCCCCCAGCTACCTCCATGATACCTCAGCTGAGTCGTCGCTGCAGGAGACGGTGGAGTGTGTGAAGCACATCAGGAACATCGATCCCACGGGAAAGCTTGTGCGCCCAGTGCTTACACCACGCTTCGCAATCTCTTGCACTCCCGAGCTACTTGCTGGGCTGGGGAAGATGGCTGAGGAGGATACGAAACTGGCAATTCAGACTCATTTCAACGAAGCGGAGCAAGAGATCAAGGCGACGCGTGAGCTGTTTCCCGAGTTCTCCAGCGAGGCGGACCTGTACCACCACTTCGGGCTGCTGAACCAGCGTTCGATTCTTGCACACTGCACATTCATGACCGATTATGAAATGCAGAAGATCAGAGAGTATGAATGTGGTGTTGCCCATTGTCCGATCTCGAACATGACGGTTGGCGGTGGCTTCATGGCGGCGTCCATTCGCCAATTCCTAGCAAGGGGCATCAAAGTCGGCCTTGGTACTGACAGTGGAGGTGGATTTTCTTCCAGCATGTTCGACAGCATCCGTCAAGCAGTGATCGCCTCGAATGCTCGTGAGGTAATGTCTGACGGAAAAGACAAGGCGCTATCTCTGGACGAAGTCTTCTACTTATCGACATTGGGCGGAGCTAGGGTTTGCTGTCTTGAAGACAAGATTGGAAGTTTTGCCGCAGGCAAGGAGTTCGATGCTCTGTGGATCACTTGCCCGTTGGAGTCCTTCGGTGTGATGACTGTTAGGGAGGAGTCAGACACTTTGAGAACGGTGTTCGAAAAGTTCCTAATGACGGGCGATGATCGGAATATCGCACGTGTGTACGTGCGTGGAAGGTTGATCAAAGATGCGCCCTCCACATAGAGAAATTCTTCAATTGTCAAGATTAGATCAACGCTCGATTTGACCTACAAACACGTGCCAAGCAATACACCACGTCATCTAGACAACTTCATTCGATCCACTTCGCCAGAAATTCAGTCACCGTTTTCTGGAACAGTTCAGGCTCATCCGAGGGCGGGCTATGACCTGACTTCTCGAATATTACCAGCTCGCTTTGCGGAATCCCTCGGCTGATCTCCTCGCCATAACCGACCGGCACGACAACATCGAGTCTGCCAGTGGCTACGAGAGTCGGCGCTGTGATATCCTTCAGCTTCGATCGAACATCGAAGCGGGGTATGTTGTGAGAAAAGGCAAAGTTGTGGGTTTCATAATGCAAATGATGTGTCTCCGCAACGGCGTTGCCCTCGAAAGTCGACGATGCAGATTTCGGATCTGTCGACCCATCCTTCGGAGTGTAGATGCCAACAATTTCCGCAAAGGCGTTTGCAAAATCCTCGTTGCTCCTCACGCCGCCGCTTACGAGACGCACCTGTCGATCCGCGTCTGGCTGGATACGGTCGCTGGTAAGAATGTTCTTCAAGAAGTTGATGCTTCCGCGGAGACCATTTGCCCAGGTGTCTCGAAGTACGAGTGCAAGAAGACGGTCTGGATGGGCTATGGCGTATTGAAGGGCAACGAAGCCACCGTATGAACCTCCTGCTAGAATGAACTTCTCGGCTCCCGCCCATTTTCTGCAGAAGGTCAGTGATTTTCTTCAATCCGGCACCAATGAGGGTTTCCTCACCGGAGCTCATCCACATCGGCGACCCATCGAGCATCAGTGTATGGCGGTTTCAAGTCACTTTCACCACTTCCTCTGGCGTCGTAGACAAGCACTCTGAAGTTTGAGGCAAGAAACCCAAACGACGATTCAGGCTCCCTCTGGTCTGACAGGCCGGGTGCACCATGGAGTGCAATGAGAAGGGGCTTTGTCTTATCGGTGTCACCGAGCAACTTAACTTGCACAGATGCTCCATCACTTAAATTGACCGCAGAATATTCGGCCATGATGAAGGTTAAGCGTCGAAAGGTTTCGTGAAAGAGACTTATCTCCGAAGATCAAAGTTGTTTTAGTTGTTGCGGACTGTCTCGGCGAGCGGGTGTTAGGTGTAGTTTTTAACTCACAAGGACTCCATGTGCTTATCAATCATACCTATGAATGCTGCAGAATTGAGGAGGTATCGCGTCATGACGCTAATTAACATCTGCATGTCGGGTACTGAAGGATTGGAGGAGGCGACCCATCTCAAAGTCCCATTCAGCACGCTGCCTAGCCATCACAGTAGAGAGCCTCAGCACGAAAGTTCCCGCCATGCCGAGTGCCATGACGAAGTTCGCGATCATGTCATCGGGTAGATTAATAAGCATTCATGTAGACTGATGCAAGTTTTTGAACCATAGGTATATTCATAACCGACAAAATGAAAGAAATATAGCGTCATAAATGTGCAAAATGTCCCGTAACCCAATCTCCCAGATGAAAAGATCCCACTCAATATGTACACAGAAGAATTCTCGAGTAAGGTCAAACGAGCCACTAGTTGACAAAGTTCCAGCATTGAGACTCGTAGATTGGGATCTCGACCTCGTACAAAGACTTAGTATAAAACTGAGTGACAAAGGCATCAACGTTGAAGTGGAAGGTGCTGGCAAACCATGCGCCGTTGATGCACTGGTCTCCGGTGGGTTTCGTGAAGGTGACTCCACTGGCACTTGTGTAGGTGAAGTCGAGATCGACAGCGAAAGCGTTAACAATCTCAGGCTTTGCTTCAATACCAGCGGACATGTCGAGCAGGCCGTTGAAGAGCTTGACGCCGAGAGCCACTGTCAAGTCGGCGTAAGGGTTCAGCTGAAGCTCAACCTGGGCGCTGATGTCCGTGGTGACATTGGTTTGGGGCTTCCAGCCAGTGGCAACGGTGTTGGCTTGGTTGAGGAAGTCCAGGTGGACGGTAGCCTCAGGGATAGAGCTGACCACACCAACAGTGGCGTTGACGGAACCTGAGGCGGCGAACTCGATGCCAAGACCCAAGTCGACCATGGGGCCAACGTCAATGATGCCCGGGATAGAAAAAGCGGAAACAGTAACGGAAAGAGGGTCATAGTTGTAGAGGTTGGTGGAGTATTGGGCATTGACCGCAGCGGTAATAGCGAGGTTCAGATCGGAGGAGTAGTCGAGGTCGATGTAAAACTCATCCACCTTGAACTTCCAGAAGTTGTAGTGGACGTGACCGCTGAGGGTAACGGTGGTGTCGAGCTTGGCTTCGTTGGCAACGATAGTCAAGGGGTCGGTTGCAACGAGTGTGGTGCCAGAGAGGTCGGCAGAGATTGTGCCAGAGAGATCGCGTTTGGCGGTGGCAGTGCCAGTGTGGGTGAAATCGATAACGGCATCGTTCAGTTGGTCACGGATTTGGACTCTGGAGGATGATGCGGTCAAAGTAAGTGTGGTGTTATCGAAGGTGTATCCTGAGATGACATAGATTCCGCGCTCATGCTCGCTGTCGCAGGTGCCATTGTGGTTGGTAATCATGGTAAAGTTCTTTGCCGGCCAAGAACTCAAGCACGAGTTGTAGTCCTCAGTAGCACTGAACTTGAGAACGACATCAGTGTCGGAGCAGGTGATGTCGGTGATGGTATCAATGTGCTCTAGGAGCACCGAGGGCTGCTTCATCTCAGCGTGAACCAATGCGTTGGTTGCGTTGAGACCCTCATAAT